CAAGTCTGATACAGTCATGATATAACAATATTCTACAAGTTGTTTAAACAGTTTGTAACAAGCTTGTTGATATTATCAGACTTGTAGCAAGGTTGTTCCAACAAGTCTGATACAAACATGATATAACAATATTGTACAAGTTGTTTAAACAGCATGTAAGAAGCTTGTTGATATTATCAGACTTGTCGCAAGGTTGTTCCAACAAGTCTGATACAGTCATGATATAACAATATTGTACAAGTTGTTTAAACGGCTTGTATCAAGCTTGTTGATATTATCAGACTTGTAGCAAGGTTGTTCTAACAAGTCCGATACAGTCATGATATAACAATATGGTACAAGTTGATTAAACAGCTTGTAACAAGCTTGTTGATATTATCAGACTTGTAGCAAGGTTGTTCTAACAAGTTCGATACAGTCATGATATAACAATATTGTACATGTTGTTTAAACAGCTTGTAGCAAGCTTGTTGATATTATGAGACTTGTAGCAAGGTTGTTCTAAGAAGTCCGATACAGTCATGATAAAACAATATTGTACAAGTTGATTAAACAGCTTGTAACAAGCTTGTTGGTATTATCAGACTTGTAGCAAGGTTGTTCCAACAAGTCTGATACAATCATGATATAACAATATTGTACAAGTTGTTTAAACAGCTTGTATCAAGCTTGTTGATATTATCAGACTTGTAGCAAGATTGTTCCAACAAGTCTGATACAGTCATGATATAACAATATTGTATACAAGTTGTTAACAGCTTGTAACAAGCTTGTTGATATTATCAGACTTGTAGCAAAGTTGTTCCAACAAGTCTGATACAATCATGATATAACAATATTGTACAAGTTGTTTAAACAGCTTGTAACAAGCTTGTTGATATTATCAGACTTGTACCAAGATTGTTCCAACATGTCTGATACAGTCATGATATAACAATATTGTATACAAGTTGTTAACAGCTTGTAACAAGCTTGTTGATATTATCAGACTTGTAGCAAAGTTGTTCCAACAAGTCTGATACAATCATGATATAACAATATTGTACAAGTTGTTTAAACAGCTTGTATCAAGCTTGTTGATATTATCAGACTTGTAGCAAGATTGTTCCAACAAGTCTGATACAGTCATGATATAACAATATTGTATACAAGTTGTTAACAGCTTGTAACAAGCTTGTTGATATTATCAGACTTGTAGCAAGGTTGTTCCAACAAGTCCGTTACAGTCATGATATAACAATATTGTATACAAGTTGTTAACATCTTGTAACAAGCTTGTTGATATTATCAGACTTGTAGCAAGGTTGTTCCAACAAGTCTGATACAATCATGATATAACAATATGGTACAAGTTGTTTAAACAGCTTGTAACAAGCTTGTTGATATTATAAGACTTGTAGCAAGGTTGTTCTAACAAGTCCAATACAGTCATGATATAGCAATATTGTACAAGTTGTTAACAGCTTGTAACAAGCTTGTTGATATTATCAGACTGGTAGCAAGGTTGTTCCAACAAGTCTGATACAGTCATGATATAACAATATTGTTACAACCTTATGTCATCAACCTTGTAACATTCTTGTTATATGATGACTGTATCAGACTTGTTAGAACAACCTTGTAGCAAGTCTGATAATGTCATCAAGCTTGTTACAAGTTGTTAACAGCTTGTTGCAAACTTGTTACAACAACTGGGAACAAGCAGTGCGAAGACAAGTTATTGACAGTTTGTGAACAGATTTCTAACAACCTGTTTGTAGACCTGGAACAACTTGTGCGTTTTAACGTGTGTAATGACATTTTTCGCACGAACGAGAATTAAACCGCCGAAGGACGTCGCTTTGTATTCAACAGATACATTCTCACGCACAGCCAACATGACATACTTTGCGGAAGCGTGTATTGTCTACTCCATGTCGCAATATTGCAACATTTCATTCATCAAACGCCTGTTTACATGACCTTGGCTCACCGCGGGTGACGTGTACCGGAATTAGAGTCTAGTCGAGACATGCAATTCACGTGCAGTATAGGCATAAGTCAAGCCGGTTACAGGCGAGCAAGTTTTCTATGACAAGTTTTTATGTGACAAGTTTTATTTGCTCGTCTGTACGCGCAACTTTGACAATTTTTTCTATGACAAGTGCACTTGTTCAAAACCTAGCATGCTAAAACTTTTGAACAAGTGCACTTGTCATAGAAAAAATTGTCAAAGTACAAATTTTGTTCGTCTGTATGGGTCAACAAAGAAAACTTGTCAAAGTAATCTGAACATTTGATGTGATTGGCCAGCTGGCTACAAATAAATTGTCAAAGTAAACTTGTTGACACGTTCACACAAGTAAATAAAACTTGTCATATGAAAACTTGTCATATACAATTTGTTGCATATACACACATGCACTTACAGTAACCGAATAAAACTTGTCACATAAAAACTTGTCATAGAAAACTCGCTCGTCTGTAACCGGCTTCAATAGAATAAAGTTAGGGAACTCGACGCAGATATAATACGTCTCATTATCCATGTTTTGCCTTGGTTTATGCAAGAAATAGCCGGTTCATCGCCAAGCGTGTTTGTGTTTCGGCTGGAGCAAGCACTAGACTACTAGTAGTTATGTTTTCATTTAACCATTGTGTGATATCACGACTGGACAGTGAAACCAACAATACACACGAGACGATGAACCGACATTTTTTGCATGAACCAAGACACTAAAAACATATAGATCATGAGAGGTCTATTATGTGTATACATCGAGTTTGCTAACCTAAAACCTACATCAAAGTGGGAAAATTTACCTCCAATGCTGGGCTCCAACATCTTGAAAATGTAATGGCCGCTATACACATCCTTCTGGTCAATCAACTTCATGCTGAATTAGGGCAAATCTTCTGCCAATTTATCACCCAGTTAACGTGGCCGCTTATACATTGCATTCTTTGACGAGTATTAAGCTACCTTTTCCCCCAGCTAAACAGGATTAACACGACATGATTATAGTGTGCAGGTATTCTTTATATTGCCAGCTTTGTTGGACGTATAAATACAACTTTAACACGGCGAATCATTGGCGAATAAACGTACAACTATACAGTTTTTTTCCCCGTGTCTGGCAAGGACAATGCCTGGAATGGCTGAATATATTCATGCTCGCTCTTTCAAAACAACTATTTTAAATATTTTTGCCACATGGGACCAACCAAACAATGTACTGTAAGTATGTATATTGTCTCCCTGTAAATCCCGCAACGACTGGTTTATCCGAGAGATTAATAAGCAAAAACAAAGGTGAATAAATTTTCTTTAGCGCGATGTTCGTTGACATTGTTCTTCAATGTTTGTCAAACTAATTATCAAAGTACAGGGTATATCAAAAAATGTACACCCTTTCAAATTAGCCATAACCTTTTAAATATTCGTTGCTCTACAGTGAGCTGGCTATCTTGTGCAGACTTGAATAATGCTTACTTTAAAATTTTTCTTTGAGTTGTGTATATTTTGTTCATACAAATAGAAGTTATCCTAAATTTCCATGTGCAAAAGACCTTGTGTTTTCACGCATTCATTAATTCGAGAAATTATACGGCTGTCAAATTACTACAATAGATTACGGTTAATTTGAATTTGAAAGGTGTACATTTTTTTGATACACCCTGTAGTTAAAATGGTTAAAAGCAATCCATAACATTATTTAACTGTGTAGATAGCTTTTGGTTACGGTATAACAATAGAATTATATTATATAGGGTTATTTTGAAACCCAAAATTTGAAGCAAGTATTTGGTGGCTTTTGAAAACGGTCCCCCCGGCACCAACTTCATTGTAATTGAATTAAATATAATCTATTTAATTCAATGCTCCAATAATTACAACAAAAGTTCACAACAAGGAAATTGGCTTGGTTTATTCAAAAACTGTTCTCTTCAAACGATAAATACATAGTTTATTGAGAAAATATCTTCAATTGAGCTAACTTTAACAAATACCAATACTTTTAACAAACAACTACCAACTACAATTTTACCATATTCTACCAACTAAAATACGAAAATTCTTAGATATATTCCAAATTCGTTCTGATAACTACAAAACTATTTCACAACAATCTATTTAACAATCCTGCGTTCAGTTAATTGAACAAAATACTCCACTTCATGAAAATAGTTGTTAAAATATTTAATTACTAAAGACTCTTTGCAAATGGTTGGCCGACAGTTGAATAACCACTTTTTGCTAGACGACGGCCATGTCGTGTTTTTTCTAGCCCGATCAAAGCCCGGGTACTAGAATCCGGTCCGAAACTATGATTGGCTAACAAGATACAGACTTGTCTAATATGTTTTTAAAAGTTCACTACATTAAATAAAATACTTTGTTTGCTGGTGCATATTTATATTTCCTAATTCTTTTGTGTTCAACGGATAAATGTCTTGAGAACTATAAACAAACTTGAATATTTTCGCTGCACAAAAGCATTATAAATATGTTACATTATTTACAAAAACTATTTCAAAACCTATGTATAGACTGAATATTTAACTACTTTCACTCCACGAGTCTAGAACAAGAAGGGAAATTCACCGTTTAGCGATTTTTAGTGATAACTGACAAGTTTTGAAACCTAGTTTCAAGTGCTTGTTTCATGGGAGCTCACAAAAGGTATCAAGGTTGTACATGAGTGCTAGCTCTTCCGATCTGTTATAAAGCGACTCGAAGCGTTCTGTATGGTCTACATACACCACAGTAGCCACCACACATTCCTGTGACTATTTGTCTACCCTGCAACGACAATGAAGGAATCATTATGAAACGTGTTATGAAAAATTTACGAGTGAAAATAAGCCTTGAAGAAAGATGGCGTACCTCTTTCATTGTTATTACTCTCGACAGATAATAACCGTACGATTTCCACGTGACTTCAGGCGATATCGATATGCCTGTGTTTGTTAAATCAATGCTGAAGCGACCCTATATAAATATTTAGAACAGTATTTTGTAAGTACAAACAAATACCACCAAAATAACTGTCATTCCATTACTATCACCCTATAACCATCATTATCACCATCATCCCTATACCCATCACTATACCCCTATAACCATCATTATCACCACTATAATAATAATGATCATCATCATCATCATCACCACCACCACCATTAGTCCATTACCATCATCACCATCATCATTACCATTATCATCATCACCATTATCATCATCACCATTATCATCATCATCACCACTACCATCATCACCATTATCATCACCATTATCATCATCATCACCATTATCATCACCATTATCATCATCATCACCATCATCATCACCATTACCATCATCATCATCACCATTATCATCATCATCACCATTATCATCATCATCACCATTACCATCATCATCACCATCACCATCACCACCATTACCATTATCATCACCATTATCACCATTATCATCACCATTATCATCATCACCATTATCATCATCACCACCATTACCATTATCATCATCATCGTGATCATCACCATCATCATCACCACCAGCATTATTACCATCACCATCACCATCATCATCACCATTACGAACTCTTTATACAGTGAAATTTTGACCCCCCATTTCTAACAAGGTTGTAAAATATCTAACCTGTGGACACTGAGATTTACTATAACAGTCACCAGCTGTACCATAACTTGGTGAATGATTTCCTCGAGTGATGGCAAATGTAAAGTCACCTCCTGTAAGAATACAATTATATTAAATCCTGATTGAATATTCCACAAGAAATTTTATAGACAAAATATGAATACCAACTTAGTCCAACCATGTATAGCGATCTCAATTATTTTGAAACTCACAACTACATAACCTATAGTTCAATGTGTCAAAAAGCGCAATGAATTTTTACGTGTATTAAACACGAGAAAAGTTGTTCTATATACAAATGCTATAACGAGGTTGATTGTATAAACATTTAACCTCAAGGCACAAAATCCATACTTACCAATGATAGACATTCGCGAAACATCAAATCGAACTTTGGAAAAATAAGTTCCGCCTGAGGTCGGGAATAACTCACGATGACAAAGTGGACAGTCATCATTCCTTGCTCCGTTGTATGGACATTTACTGGGATTTTTTAAACTAAAATACGAAATATAGAAAGGAGATATTAGCATTCAGGTGTCGTAGTGGTTCTTGTAAATGTCTTTCGCCTCTAGGGCTGAGCTTGAATTCCTGCAATATGTATTTGATTAAAAATCAGGGGTGGAAAAAATAGGCGAGCACAGGAAATGTTAAACAGCTGCAGGAAATTCGTCTGAATGAAGATTTGCTATTGAGAATTTGAAGGAACCTTAACACCCATGTCCCACTATGGGCGCAACAACATATGGTTGACAGACATTATTCCTTGAATTTAAAACCATGGTCAGCTAGAACACTATATGTTTATGCACATGCAGATTTAGCACAAAAATACTCCATTGGTCTGCAGGAATTTTTTGTCTCCAGGTTGTGCTCCAAGGAAGAAAATGATGATTATCATTTGACTTCAGTCACATGTGAGAAGAGTACTAGGGTTGGCTCTACCAAACATCACAGATTTTCTCAAAGTACTCCAGTAGTAAGAATGAAATATGTTGGAACTTGGAACTAATAGTTCAGATAAGTTTAGCTTTAAAGTGCTATCTCGTTACCTACTTCTAGTTATACAATTGAAAAACTTCATTCGAAAACTTGATTCGGTAAATAAATGAAAAATTATAAACAAGTCATACACCCCACCTTCTGTGATAATATTCTGCAAAATTATGCTGTGGTCCAGACTTTAATGTCATGTATTCTTTAGGATTATTGGTCAACATTCCATAGCAATACACCTGAACAAAAAATAACAATACGTTAAGGTTTCGAGGTCTCAACGTTGCTTTTACAAGAGGTAATCTCTTGATGAAATATGCTGTTCAAATTTGATGGTAGAACAACAAAATGAGTGACAGCCGTATATAATTAAGGTACCTAATTTTATTTTTTCCCAATTTTTTTACCCATAAAAAATTGGTTAAATTAACATCATTCATTGATATTCGTTGTTTTTAACATCAATTTTTTATTATGTAATTCATAAGCCAATTATCTCAAAAATAATTGGAGGACAGCATACCTGGATTCTCTTTGAAGCAATAGTAATGTTAAATTCGGTATCTTCTTGTTTTCCAAGTTGAGTTTGGATGTCTTTGCACGATCTTGGCTCACCTGAAAGAATGATATAAAAGCTCACATGTTTCTGATGGTGATTCTACGATGTAATAAAGTGTATCAAAAGAAAGATTTATTTGGCTCCATCGTTCTTTTCAAACGTCGTCAGTGCAAGAGTCAGTCGTACAAAACCTGGATGACACTGCCCACTGTTATGGTGCAAGAAATGCGACTACAGGACCACTATGACTTACATTTTGGCAACAAGCATTCCCTGGTATCATCAGGTTTAATAAAACCTTGCCGCAAACATCTTGTCTCTATGCCGTACTGATTATTACGACCAAGACATTTTACTGCTCGTCTCATCGTTGCCTCACCACATGTGGCTGAACACTGTAAATGAAATGAAAGAGAATGTTGGTTCTGATTAAAACTAATAAAACTCCCGCAAAGACAAAATAATTGCAGTAAAGCTGCAATTTACGATTTCTATGAAATGAAAAATCCCTTGCCTTAGACCAAGGCCCAGTTTTCCAAGTATAGGAACTGTTGCACGGCCCACGATTACAACGTCTTTCGAGAGATGATTTATTATTTTTGTCACATAAATCATTGGAATTCTCGTCTTTTTCAGGGCACGCGACTGTTCGTGTTTGTACTCCTTCACCGCACGACGTTGAGCACTGGAATAGAGAATATTTTGAAAATAAATAAAAACTATAAGTTTTGTAAATGAAGGTTAACTAAATTAAACTCTTCACTGGAATGTTCAATACTTCAATTAGTTCTATACTGTTCTTCCTAGAGATCCCTAAGGATCATTCACTTTTGGTCCAGTGTTACTACAGGAGGAAACCTATACTAAACGAACTTTATTTATACTGGATAGTTCTATCAGTTCTAAACTGTTCTTCCTAGAGGTCCAGCAAGGATCATCTCGTATTGGTTCACATATATTCACCTCAGACCAATGTCCAACAGACCACTGCGGCAGACATTCTTCATTATTACATACTGTAACCTTGGGAGGCTTGTTTTCAGAATCACAATTTCTACTGGGAACTTGACGTTCACTCTCATTAACACAGATCACCATTCGAGACTGGATACCACCACCACATGTTGTCGAACACTAAAAATGAGGAATATTTAATCATTATTCCAAAAGACAACCACCTTTTGTTGCTGGAAATGTTAGTTCTCTAAACTTTTTTCTTGCCTTAAATTTCATGCAATATATTGTTTCATTTATGGCCTACTAATGCTTTCATGGTTGAAAATTTATTCTTGAAGGTTTGTTACACAGTTGTTAAGCTGTATGATTCAAAGGCTTTCAGAAATTATTGGGGGGGGGATTGCCACGAAACCGCCGTCTCGCCACTGTTTGATTTTGACTGCGTTACAATAATTCTCAATTATTGGGGGAGGGGTGCGATTGCCCCCCTGGTTTAGGGTCTGCCAGTGTTTGATTTTGATCTGGTGTTATAGTAAAATACTCACCGGGCTGAAAGATGTGGCGAACCATTTATAGCGATTATTCTGAGGTTCGCATTTCTTACGATTACAGGACTTTTCATGATTGGGTTTATCTTGCTTTGAACAAAATCCATCCTCCACAAACGAACTGTCTATTCTGCAACGCACACTTCTCTCGCTTTTCCCAGGACCACAGTTTGCAGAACACTGAAGATATAAAGTCATGTAGATCTCAACATTATGTTTGGTAAAGCTAGAGGATGTAGAACACTGAAGATATAAAGTCATGTAGGTTTCAACATTATGTTTGGTAAAGCTAGAGGATGTAGAACACTGAAGATATAAAGTCATGTAGGTTTCAACATTATGTTTCGTAAAGTTAGAGGATGCAGAACACTGAAGATATAAAGTCATGTAGATCTCAACATTATGTTTGGTAAAGCTAGAGGATGTAGAACACTGAAGATATAAAGTCATGTAGATCTCAACATTATGTTTGGTAAAGTTAGAGGATGTAGAACACTGAAGATATAAAGTCATGTAGGTCTCAACATTATGTTTGGTAAAGCTAGAGGATGTAGAACACTGAAGATATAAAGTCATGTAGGTCTCAACATTATGTTTGGTAAAGCTAGAGGATGTAGAACACTGAAGATATAAAGTCATGTAGGTCTCAACATTATGTTTGGTAAAGCTAGAGGATGTAGAACACTGAAGATATAAAGTCATGTAGGTTTCAACATTATGTTTGGTAAAGTTAGAGGATGCAGAACACTGAAGATATAAAGTTATGTAGATCTCAACATTATGTTTGGTAAAGCTAGAGGATGTAGAACACTGAAGATATAAAGTCATGTAGGTTTCAACATTATGTTTGGTAAAGTTAGAGGATGCAGAACACTGAAGATATAAAGTCATGTAGATCTCAACATTATGTTTGGTAAAGTTAGAGGATGTAGAACACTGAAGATATAAAGTCATGTAGATCTCAACATTATGTTTGGTAAAGCTAGAGGATGTAGAACACTGAAGATATAAAGTCATGTGGATTTCAACATTATGTTTGGTAAAGCTAGAGGATGTAAAACACTGAAGATATAAAGTCATGTAGGTCTCAACATTATGTTTGGTAAAGCTAGAGGATGTAGAACACTGAAGATATAAAGTCATGTGGATTTCAACATTATGTTTGGTAAAGCTAGAGGATGTAGAACACTGAAGATATAAAGTCATGTGGATTTCAACATTATGTTTGGTAAAGCTAGAGGATGTAGAACACTGAAGATATAAAGTCATGTGGATTTCAACATTATGTTTGGTAAAGCTAGAGGATGCAGAACACTGAAGATATAAAGTCATGTAGATCTCAACATTATGTTT